GAGAGAGAGAGAGAGAGAGAGAGAGAGAGAGAGAGAGAGAGAGAGAGAGAGAGAGAGAGAGAGAGAGTTCTTCTTCCTCCTCTAAGTCCACCATCTCTTCTTCACCCTCTCACTCCCTGACTTCTCAGTATCAACGGACTACAACAGAGAGAGAGAGTTGTGACTTGAGACTTGACGACATTGGATCCAGACTCGACATTGGGATTCAGACATTTGAACGAGGGACTATTTGGGCCTGTGCCGAAGACTTGGTGTTGACAACATTCCCATCTTCCCCTCTTCTTCGTCTAACCCCCCTCTTCTTCGTCTGTGTATGGTTGGGGCTGGCGCATTCTTCCTGTGCGAGCGCCAGACCCATTCACACCATGGAATGATGATGATGATGTATGTTCGGGGCTGCATTGCAATATTGATTGTTCGGATCATTGTTATCTAAGTCTTCCGCTACTCTATCTTGTACTTTGTGAGAGAGGTCGGTTCTTGTTCTGGTCTGCACCGTTACAGTATGCAACATAGGGTGAGGTCTAGGGATCGAGCCCTGGGATCTGCATCTGCTACTGCAAAAAACCGTTTCAGCAGGGCTTCACAGGATGTTTCTTCGGGAAAAAAAAAAGAAAAAAAAGAAGAAGATGCAGTGTGACATGGGATGCGACATGGGACGAAACACAGAAAGTCCGGGCCTTCGCCAAAGACCTTATAGAAGCAGAGATCCAGTGCAAATGGGGACATACGAAGAGGCTGATTCAGTGGAACCCTGATGAGGTAAGAACGATAGTTTCAAAGTTTCAAAGGGAATGGCTGGCCAGAGGCAAAGTTGCAACTATTAACGGTCAAGTCGGTCAACAAATCGGATGGAAAGACTGGCAGGAACTACAGAACTCAGACAGACTCATCTTCGCAGAGTGATTAGGATGACTGCAACACTATTTGGGCCTAAGGGGGAGAAATCAAAGCTCTTTTGCGGAGGAGGCTAGCGCTTGCATCAGTAGGGAAGAAAAGAAGCAAAAGCCGTTGTGACAGCAGAGGTAAGCACATGATATGCCAGGTGGCAGTTTGATGACAGGTTAGGAGATATTTAAACGCTTAATTTGGAAAAACACTTCCACAAAGTTACTAAGAAAAAAACAGAACCTGCACTGACATTGTGCGATTTGGCTTTCATGCTTTTGCAGGATCTCATGGAAGAACCTGTCATCTCAGCAGACGGACATACTTACGAGCGCAATGCCATTGAACGCTGGCTAGAAGGCCATGAAACATCCCCAATGACGAACCTGCTTCTGGAAAACAAGACTCTGGTTCCCAATTTTGCACTGCGCAATGCCATCCAGCAGTGGAGAGAGTTTCACGAACAGTAAGCAAGTTGCTACCGTCTGTCAGCAAATAGATGCATGAAGATGTGACAGCCACATGGTTGAGATCCGGCATCTGAAAAACTGGGTTGAATTCATATGACTGATGTATTGGAGGATGGAGTGAATCAGGGAATAAGAAAAATTCATTGGTCTGGTATCGTCGGTGATTTAGGCTTTAGCTGCTTTAGCATCCACTTTTGACACGTTGAGTTTATAACGTAGTAATAATTTCACAGCATATGGCATCCATCCAGTCTCTCAGAGAGATCATAGGTCACAGCTGTGTGCCTTTGAAAGGTGTATATAAGGCATCTCCGAAAGACGGAATCATAGGCAGAAGTTCTGGTAGAGGCCTGCCATCCTAGGAATTCTGTGGAATGTGAAGGAATAAGTGAGGAGTGGAAGGGTAGGAGAGACGAGGAGAAAAGTGAGAGAGAACCTTAGTGCGGAAATGGATTTCGATGGCGTTGCAGCTCGCACCTCCTGGAATCTGCTTGGGTGTCGCGTGATGCTCCCCGCGGGAGACTCCGCACCCCTGTGTTGGGAAAAAGGCATGGGCCAGGGCGGGCCCAGCAAGGTGCAGTGCAGTGAAAAAAAAACAAAAACGTGTGTCCTGATTCACCGTGTTGTGTCTAAAGACAAGGTCACTGTGTCATAGTCGCGTTCAGGCTAACGTTTTCATCGTTGGGCATGGGGGTGCTTTCTTTTTTTTTCCGGTTGCCCGAGCAGAGATTCATTTCATTCTGTCGTCTTTGGGCATTGCTGGCGGTTTAATGTATGTCGCCCTGGCTGGATGTTGGATTACAAGTGCGTTGCTGGCGGGTTTATGTACGTCGCCCTGGCTGGATGTTCCAGTACAAGTGGGTTGCTGGCAGGTGTATGCCTGTCGCCCTGGCTGGATGTTGGAATACAAATGCATTGCTGGCAAGTTTATGTATGCTGGCTGGTTTCTTTGTCGCCCTGGGCTGGATGTTTGAATACAAGTGCGTTGCTGTCAGGTTTATGTATGCTGGTGGGTTTCTTGCTGTAACTTGCTGGCAGGTTTATGTATGCTGGTGGTTTTCTGTTTGTTGCCCTGGCTGGATATTCAAGGGGGGAGGGGGGGGGGGGGGGGGGGGGGGGGGGGGGGGGGGGGGGGGGGGGGGGGGGGGGGGAGGGGGGAACTTCATACCAGGTCTGTTTCGATGCGAAGAAGGCACATGCTGGAATTTAGGGGAGCTCACCCCAAAAGTTAAAAAGGAAGAAAGAAAGAAGATGTATGACAGTTAGCAACCAGGTCAAGAGCTCGATTCCGGGGTGAGCTCGCCACGAAAGTGAAAAAAGGATCAGAGCTGTTTTCTTGCTTATCTTCACAAGCTCGCAGTATTCGAGCTGAGGTCTGTCCTTCACCAGTTGATGGGTGCACCACTCAGCCACATGAGCTTGCCGTTTTTTTGTTGTGTTTTCGTTCTCTGTTCGTTTGTACCACCCAGACGACGTAGCATTACCCCACACTGCACCGGCCAGTCCACATACTATGACCCAACCCAGCTAGTAACACCCAACTCACATAGTATCACCTGGGCCACAGAGTACCAACTATTCCGCATAGTTCTGACCCACCCGACATGGTGCTATCCACCCCACTCAGTACCACCGAGGCCTTGCTGTACCACACAGGATTCCAGCCCAAATAGTACCACCCATGCCACATAGTACCACCCAGTCCACAAAGTATGACCTGCACCACATGGTACTGCCCGGTCCGCACGGTATGACCAATCCCACACGGTGCAACCTGACCTGCATATTATCACCCAGGCCACGTAATGCCGCTCAGGCCCACGCAGTGCCTCCTGGCCATGGCAAGGGCCGAGTTGTGCCTGATGCTGGCCATGTGTTTTTTTTCGTGGTTGTGTCCGAGTTAATTTTTTTTCTTTTCGGAGGGTGTGTGCGCGAGTACATCCAGTTTACGTAGTATGGCCCGTCCAACATGGTGCCACCTGATCCAATGGTACCATCCACCCGACTTAGCATCACACAGGTGTGGGTGTGGGTGCGTGTGTGTTTGTGGCTGCCAGTCAACATAGTATGACGGTTTTTTTTGTTTTTTTCCCCCCCAAAACAACGGGCCCAGTGCCCAAGGCTTGTATTACTCAAGGAATAGAATTCGAGGCCGGGGTCCTCACAGTCTACCCGGAAGGTTGGTCTGGATTAACTGATGATGATGATAGGCGTTTCGAGGATAAGTACCCCGCCTTAAAATCAACTAGGACTGTGGTGGGCGAGTAGAGGGCGTGAGTTACCAGTTGGTCAACTTAGGGGCTAGTAGCCTGGTGTCCGAAGTTCCCGTGTGACGAGGCTCGTACCAGGGCTGGGTCATGGCTAGCCCTGGTGCCTGTCACTACTGTTCGGTCCAAGTTCCCCTCGATACCAAGTAGGGGCAAAGGTTCTGAGTGCTGGTCACACTGAGGTAGGATAGTAGAGATAGGGGGTGCTCTAGGAGTATTGACATGAGGATGGGATGGGAAGGTAGCCTCGTTCCCTCAGGACAACCATGGCTGACCGCTCCTGGCGGTCAGTGTGTGCCTAGTAACCGGCCTCTACAACACCCTGGGCTTTATGTGAAAAAAAAAAAAAAGAATAGACTGGATGAGACACACTGGCAGCCTCAGCCAGCTTAGCTTATGAGTTCGTCAGAAAAAGTCACTGTGCTGGAAACCGGGTCCAGCATCCCCTGCCTCTGGCTAGCTGAGATAAAAAAATGGGGGTCTGCCTCTTCATCCATCTCGCCGGATGCCAGAACTTTCACAGAGAGCTAGCAGCCCTTCCACTACCCCATGGCCTGGCTCGGAAAACCGGAAGGAGCCATTGGGGGGCACCAGTGGGTCCTCCTTCCATCTCCCCGCCCGCCCCGGGATCAGCTTTAAAATGTCTTCTAGACTACAATTGTCGTCACGGAGAGGGCATGGGGAGGGAAGGGGTCTGGGAAATCTGTTGGGGGGTGCAAAGGGAATGAGGGTTCCACCTGGGTCCAGTCCTTAAACACTAGTCTGTAGTCCCTTATTTCTTCCAGATCCTGCTGTCCACCTACCTATCCCCACCCCATGTGACTTTTGCTACCCATCCTTACCGTTCTCCACCCAACCAGTCCGTACAGAATGCTGTGACCACTCTCCTGACGTCCGTAATTTGTGTGAAGAGATCCAGCTGGGACTTCGTGTCGGACCACCTCTGCATGAGTGCCAGCTGTACTTGTTGTTTGATTTGTTCAGCGATTTCCGCCTCTTCTATCCTCACTTTATCCAAGGCCAAAACGCACCTCTGCCACCAAAGAGCCCACATCACCGCCCTCCTGCCCAACCAAAACATGTTCTCAACAAACACTGAGCTTTCTCTCACCAAAGGCCAGTGGCCAACCAGGATGGCCCGCCATGACCATGGCCAGGGAATCTCTGTCACTATCTTCCGCCAAATACGGTTCCACCATTGCCACATAAATTGAGCTATTGGGCATTGCATGAAAATGTGCTCAATGGTCTCTGCCCTCTTACGGGGGGGGAACATGTTCAGACAACGCTGACACCACGGCAGCGCCAGACCCCGCTGCTCCAGGTCGGTGCGGTCTATTAGCCAGTCATTAGTTACTCCACATGGTACCACCCAGTTCACATGATACCGCCCAGCCCATATGCTACCGCTTGGCCGTGCCAAGGGCCGAGTTGTGCCTAACTTTGGCCACCAAGAGGCACATGATGTGAGATCAGGAAGCGGACTTCGTTGTTTTTTTACGTAAGGCCTGTTTTGTTTTGTTTTTGGCTTGGCCGCATGGATGGCACAGAAGGACGGGGGGGGTAGGAGGAGAACACAGTGCGAGGAGGAGGAGAAGGATGCGGCAGAGGAGGGGAAGGAGGAGAATGCAACAGAGGAGGAGGGAGGTGGGGAAGCAGGGTGAAGAGGAGGTGGCAGAGGATGGGGAGGCAGAGGAGGGGAGGAGGTGGAGGAACAGGGGTGATGGGGAGGGCGCAGTGGGCGTATCCGCAGCAGGCATCCACTTGTCTTTTTCAAATTGAACTCAACAGGGCTTTATGGGCCTGCCTGGCTCCATTCTATTCTCAGAAGTGTCAGACTGGTTCCTTTTCCACTGGCAAGTCAGCAACTAACAAAAGAGTCAGCACATGCTTCCTCTGGTTATGGTCAGACAAACCCCGAACAGCATTGATTACTCCTGCTTGGGAGGACCAAGTGTTGGACATGCCCATTCAGATAAACAGACCCCGTCTGGCGAGCTTTTACCTTTGAGAAAACACAATGCCTGACCAATCCTCTCAGCCCTTTCACAGGCTGCCTGATATGATCTGCAGACCAACTCCAGATATGTCATCGTTCCTTGAAGCTAGAAACCCCCTCTTTGGTTCGCTGGTTGCCGCCTCCTTTTCCTTTACCCCAAAGGCACTGAAGAATCATGGTGACCCGTTCCTCTCAGCCTATAACGGATGCCTGAAGAGTGTGCTAAGGCGCTAGTACACGGCCCCAGCCTTGCAGAAAGTTTTTTGTCACCACAAGCAAAACTCGGAGGCGCTGCGCGGCCAGGCCCGCCGTTGAAAAAAAAAATTGGCGGCCTCCGAAGTGGTGCGGGTTTCGTGCTGACACCCGCGGACCAAAATGTGGTGTGCAGGTGCTTTAACCGAGAACTCGTTCACTGCCACTGTGTGCTATTCCTGCAGAGCCCAATGCCAAACGTCCTAACCCAGATTTCTGTCCACGCCTCCTCCCATTGTATGTGAGGCATTCTTATATAGCGTCATATGCATCAGTGGAGGCATCGTCCTTCTCCCTCTTTCTCAGTGTGTTCGTATCCTTCGTTTCCTTTTCCACGATTTTGCCGAATTCTGCCAGGGAGTAGGTTTTACATCTGTTGGTGTTCTGGTTCTTATCTTTGTTTGTTCGAATTTTCTTTGCACTCGTCGGGAGGCTGAACAACCCGATCTATAATTTACAGGCCCTTGAAAGAGAGGGAATGACCAGTCAGATGGAGACTCATCCTCTGCCCTGATGGCGTTGCTGTACAGACTTCTGTGATGATACTGGAGGTTGCTGTTCCCGTGCTCCCTGCTTCCAGGCTCTTCCTTCCGCTCTGCAGTTCGCTCTATGTTCTGTCTGCGTTCAAAACTCCCTGAATTCTTTGCAGCTGCCCCCTTGTCAACCCTATGTTGCCCTCCCAGAAGGTTGGAGGTGCTTAGTGTTACCCCGCGTCCTTCCTGCACTTTCTATCGCCGCCAGCCCCTGGCCTTAGGGTCTCACTACCTCGCCCACAGCATCCACTTCCCTACATCCATTGCATGATCAGACTCCTCCGGCCAGTGCTTAACAGCAACCGACCCTATGGGAGATAATTTATGCCCCCTCCTTCCCCCCTTTCTCCTTCCACCAGTGAATGCGTTGCCGCTGGTCAAGAGCGCAAAACCTGTCGACTCAACTGTCAGCACCCGCCAAATCACCCAGGATCTCTGTACCGCTTGTGTTCCCCTTGGACATAACCGATCAGTCGTCCCTTCTGAAAGGCCTTCCACGATTCAGACCCCAAATTCGGATCTCAGGGTCAGATGCCCAGGTCAAGAAAAGGCCGAGTTCGTCAAACTCAGAAAAATCACAATCGGGCACCTCAGCAGTCTGGTCCAACAGGCACCCAGCAAACAGT